TGGGCGGGCCTGAGTTTCCTCTCCTCACCTAATCCCTTCGGTTGATTGCTGTTGTCTCTGGCTTCCTGGCTTTTAATCCCCTTTCTCCTGCTCTTTCCACCTGCTGCTTTGGGCATCATTGAGTTGTCTCTCCTCACCTGTATCCCTGGGGCTGACTGCTCTTCTGTCCAGGTTCCTGTCTTTTACTCCCCTTTTTCCTGCTCTTCTGGCCTGCTGCTTTGGGCGTCCCTGAGTTGTCTCTCCTCACCTGTAACCCTGGGGCTGACACAACAACATTAGCAAGTAATTTATAGTTTATCAGTTTCTGGTACTTCTGGCTCTAACAGGTTTTACTGTATTTTATTTTTGCTGCCCACCACTCATCTGTCAGTTTGTTGTATTGCAGTAGGTTGCATGTTGCTGTGATGCTGGAAGTACTTATGAAGATCAAAGATAGCCTTCAGAATGGATTATACCTCAGCATAATGAAAACAAAAGTCCTCCCAACTGGCCCAATAAGCAACATTATGATAAATGGAAAAATATTAAAGTTGTCAAGGATTTCATTTTATTTGGATCCACAATCAGTGCTCTTGGAAACAGCAGTCAAGAAATCAAACACATGTATTGCAGTAGGCAAATCTGCTACAAAAGACTTCTTTAAAGAATTAAAGAGCAAAGATACCACCTGAGGACTAAGGTGTGCCTGACCCAAACCCTAGGATGTTGTGTTTTCAATCACCTCTTATGTATGCAAAAGCTAGGCAATGAATAAGGAAGACCAAAGAACATTTAATGCCTGTGAACTATGGTGTTGGCAAAGAATACTGAATATACCATGGACTGCCAGAAGAACCAATAAATCTTTCTTGGAAGAAGTACAGCCAGAATGCTTCTTAGAAGACTTTCTCTCTCATCCTTAGATCATTATCAGGAGGAACCAGTCCCTGGGAAAGATATCATGCTTGGTAAAGTCGACGTTAGTGAAAAAGAGAAAGAACCTCAAAGAGATGGATTGACACAGTGGCTACAACAATATGCTCAAACGTAGCAATGATTGTGAGGATGGTGCAGGACTGGGCAGTGTTGTGTTCTGTTGTACTCAGGATCTCTCTGAGTCAGAACTGAGTCCACAGGACCAAACAACATTTTTGCTTCTGGTATGTCATGTATGAACTAGAAAGAGTTAAGCAACTTAGGAGAATTACTAAACTAAAAAAATACTGAAGAACAGATTTAAAATATTCAGCTTATCACCAGTGTGAGAAGAAATATGTTTTTTTTTTTTACCAAAAAAACAGTTCATAGAAATTCATGTAACACAATTCTTATAAAACATAAAGAATAAGCTTCAGAAATTCTTTAATTAACACAAAAATTAAGCCTTAGATTTTCCTACTCAAAGCACTCAATGATTGAAGAGTTTTAATACTTAATCCTTTTTTATCCCTGCAGTTACTGGAATACTTAAGTTAAGCCAGAGTGGTAGTATTTAGGCAACTAATTACGCAAGTATTCTTACTGTGGGAAAGGAGCCCTGGCAGTACAACTGTGGAATGCTCGGCTACTAACTGAAAGACCTGATGATCTGCTTTGGTAAAGATTACAGCCTGGAAAACCCTAGGTTATAGTTCTGCACAGTCACACAGAGCCACTACAGCTCAAAATTGTCTCGACAGAACATAACAAGAACAACATTGTTCTAAATATCAAAAGCCAGAAAGACCCTATTTGAGATCTTGCTCCCCCATTTACTACTGTTAAGACTTTTCTGGATCTATTTCCATTCTGTGAAAGGGAAATACAACATAATTTAAAGAGTTAGGTGAATATTAAGTAATATTCATTTGGTATCAGGACACTGATAATAAATAATACCCTATTTGCCAGGTTAAAATGTTATTATAGGAAGCTTAAGGGAAACTGGTTAGGAATAAACTTAATTGTCGGGAAGGTGTTAACTTAAACTCAAGAAATGTAACCTCAGAGCCATGTATAAAAAAACATCAGTAACTATAAAAATGATTTAAATAATTTGCTCAAAGCATCAGAGATACAATAGTTTTAATTCAGGCCAGATTGGTTGGCTCTAAAACCCGAGTTTGTTCTTTATCTCTAAGGTCTCACAAGAGGCATCTGTACACACCCATTTCCCTACAGAAGGAGAAACTTCTTATACATATATAAGCATATATAATGAAATATGCGTATGTTTACATATGGATTACATTACCATCTGTTTCAGGGAGCTCTCTGTACCCAACATCATTTTTATCTACTGGGACAACTAAGCCTGCACCATGAAAGGTCTTTGTCACAACCTAAGAAATGAAAAGAAAACACAGAAAATTTAATCATCGTTAGAGATAAAACTCAACATTTCTGCCAAAATATAACTCGATGACAATTTATTTCAGTGAAGTTGGACACTAGGGTGAAAGTTTGTTTTTTCCTTTAAAATTAGTTAAAAGGTCAAGCTCTTGAAGTAATTATAAAACAGTGAAATAACTGACTTTTTTTTTTTAATTTTATTGTGCTTTAAAATAACCAACTTTTATTAATTGTGCTGGTCATTTAGAAGTCTGCATTTTGCTTTGTTAGGGAAGAAACTCAATGTATTCTATTACTGGAGGCAAGCCAATACATAAATTTCCTGATGGATCTTCTAGGTAGAAAGACATAGATTTGACTACAAAAAAACTTTATAAATATTAAGAACAAATTTAAAACAAATTGATGGACAGTAACTGCAATATATCTATCTACCTACCTACCTACCTACCTATCTATATATAAAACAGTAAAATTAATAGTATCTTTAAACCACAAAAAATACTCTTACAAATAAAGGAAAAGATTAACACCCAAATTAAAATACAAATGAGAAATAGACTAATTATAAACTCCATAGAAAAATGAGCAAAGTTCAGGTAGATCACAAAAGAAATATAAATAAATGGCCAAGGGATATGTAAAAATACTAACATACTTTGTAATTAAAGAAATGTACATAAATACACCATGGTATCATTTTATAACTATCAGAATAAAAAATATGAAAACAATTGATAATACCCAGTTCAGGTAAAAATATGGGCAAAATTGTCACTTTCACATATTGCTGGTGGGAATACAAGTTGGTATTAACTCTTATAAATGGTAGTTTTGTAAACAAAGAAACATGCAAACACAACCACTTTAAAACACTTTGGACCTGGCAGTGCTACGTCTAATAATTTCTTCTAAGGCAATAATCAGACAAGTGTTTAAAGAATGATATAAAAGGATATTTATGGCAGGGTTGTCTGTGAAAAATTTTAAGCAGCCTAAACTTTGAACATAAGCAAAGTATTCTGTAGCCTTTTAAAATTATGATGTACATCTTAAATTTAGCAATATGAACCAAAAATCACAATATATTCATAAGTGAAAAAAACACATCATGAAACAGTGATAATGAGATAAAAAAGGCTGTGATAAGCTGCTGATTTCTTACCTTCTCTTCCAATCAGGTTAAATAACACACACCAAAAACTATGGTATATATGCATTTCTACAAATGGTTACACTAATTTCTATGAAGAGATATCACTTACAAACAAATCACCAGAATTCCACTCGTAATTTTATTATGAAGAATTACAAATTTAGGAAAAAATCCTGTACATAAGTGGGTGACAATAAGATGTGGATGGAATAATACACCTCATTTACACCCCAGGGTCATTAAACCAATGTTTATTTTTAAAAATAAAGAAATCGAGGAGGTGGGGCAAGATGGCGGACTAGGCAGAAGGATTGCACAGACCCTCTTCAACAAAGAAAAGGGAAACCAATTAACACAGACACAGAAGATAATCTTGG